AAAAAGTATAGCATAAATATCTAATGTTGAAGGTATTAAATTGTCTAAAATATCTAAAAGCATTCTATATTCTATATCTTTACATGTATTATCAAATTTTACTAAAATTATATGTGTTATAGCTTTCCATCCTTCATGAATTAATTCTAAAATTAAATTAATTCTCCAAGGTCTTAGTTTTTTAGCTAATTTTTTTTGATTTCCAAAAACAAAATAAAAAAATTTTTCAAAAAAAGAATAATGAACAAGAAATACTTGTTCACAAAAATTTAAAGAAACATGAAGTGGACCTAAAATTGGAATAAAATTTTGAATATTATTTGGTATTGAATTATATAATGAATTAGATTGTAATCTATATTGTGTAATTATTTTTCTAATAAATAATTGTTCAGGCCAATCTGCAATAATTGGAATTATATTATTTTCTAAATATTGTAATAATGTATTAATATTTGTAATCATTTTAAAAGCTTTTAAATAATCATTTATTGAATGTAAATTCATTTTTTTAACTTTAACAACTCTTATATTTTTCATTAATCTTTCTTCTTTATGTTCTTTAATTGCATTATCATATATATGTAATGTTAATAAATCTATATGATTTTGAGAACTAGATTGAAAATTATTTTGTGAAATCCATTCCATTTTACATTCATTATAACTTTTATCAAAACATCCATTATATTTAGAAGTTAAATTATAAATAATTTTAGTTGCTTCAATATTTTCTGAATTAAAAAATGAGCAATTGTTTGAAATTGCTAAAATTGGTTGTTGATTTTTAATTAATTTAGTTACACATGTTGCTAAATGATTTGTAGTTGAAAGTGTTGTATTATTTGGTCGACGTAATTTATAAATATCATGAAAATCATCAATATTAAAACAATGAAACATATTTAACTAAATATAATTAAATATTATATTATTAATTTTATATTAAAATAATTAAAAAATTATAATTTACTTACATAAGAAGCAAAATATTCATTAATTTTAGTTGAATAATTATTTTTAATTTTTTCTTTATAACGATATAATGTTTTTGAACTTATAGTTATTCCAGCTTTCATAAGAAAATCAATTTCAGTTGTGCTTAAACCACAAGATGATAAATATAAACTAAGATCAGTTTTATATTTATTTATATTTTGATTATATAATCCAACCAAAAGATAACATTAACTAATAATTTGTTGTTAAGTTTTTTTAATATTTTTTTCAGTTCTTCTTTTAGAAACAAGTGCATTTGTCATTTCATCTAAAAATCCAATTAATTGAGATTCTTCTGCTTCAATTAATTGTTTAAAACAATTAGGATCTAATAAATAATAATTATTTTTTTCTTCATATTTATATAATACTTTTGTTAATAATTGTAATTGAGTAGAAAATAAATTTGGTTGTACTATAAAATAAAATAAATTTAAAGTATAATTTTAAAATATTATTAATAAATAATAAATAATAAACTTACATATTTGAGTTGAATTATTATTATTATCTTCAATTTTTTGATTAACAATTATATTAATTAATTTGTTAAAATTTGTTTTATCAAAAAATATACCATTTTCAACAATTTTTAACTTTATATTTGAAAAATTATTAGTTGTTAAATTTGTAACTTGTTGATCTTCAAAAAATTTTAAATAATTAATTGGAATATTAGAACTATTTGGAATAAATTTGCTTGTTTCAATAATATCTGCTAAATCTATATAATCTTTTAAGAATTCATTATTAGATTTTAAATCTTGAATAAAATTAATAATTTTTATATAATGTTCAAAACAAATTTGATCTTTTTCAACTTTTAAATAACCAAATTCTAAACTAAAATAACTATCAATCTTATTTTTAAGTTCTTGTATTACATTTCTAAAAGAATTAATATTACTATTATAATTATTAATAGCACAAGGTTCAGTAAGTTTTTGACAAGGCATTTGGTTTATAAATTTAATTTAAAATTTTTATAAATTATAAAATTTAAAATTTACAAGAATAACAGGGTCTTATATAATTTTTTAAACGTAGATCATAACTAAATTATATTTTAAAAAATTACACAAAAGAAAAATAATTACAAATAAGAATCCAAAATGAAAATAATTATAAATAGAGACCTGATATGTATTTAAAAATCATTACAAATAAGGGCCAAAATAGTTATATGCTTAAAAAACTATGATTTAGCCCCATTTCGATAAATTCTAATGCACAATAAAAAAAGTATATTTAATCTGTTAACCCATTATTTATGCTGTAAATTTATTTCATAATATATATTTTTTAAAACTTGTTTATAAATGTTAGATACAAAGTTATAGATTGATATAACTTTTACAAACTTAGAAATTGTTCATTCAGCTGTGGACAGTTATTCTGTTAAAATTGTAGTTATTCTGTTGAATCGTAGTTAAATTAAGTAAACTGTTATTCCATTGAATTCTAAGTTAAGAATAAACAAACTAAATAAGCTGTTGACTGTTTGTTTTGCAAATGAAACCAGTTCATGCCCTTTTACAATTTCAGCTAACAAGCGTAATGATCCAACTTGTTAACTTTTATAGATACATTCAAAGCATGAGATATAGCAATACTTCGACCTTATAATATTAAAAATCATGTTCATTCTAAAAATAGAACCGAGACATCATACATAGTAGCTTGAAGAAGTAACACATTAGGCTACACAAAGCTAATTGTTCATTTTGCATCATATGGATTTCAAAAATTTGGTCATTTGGTTGAAATATTTATTATTATTTTTTTTATACAGTTAAACCTACTATAATCATATCTTGACTTCAATATGCATAATATGAGTTGATTTAAAATTTTGTAATTATAAGCAAATG